GGGCACGCTGTACTAGAAAATCCAGGGTTGCGGAGAATCACATGGAAAAGAGCATGCAAGGTAACATCGAAACTGGGATTTCATGAAAGTGTAGAGGTTGCCTACTCATGATGAATAAGCGTTTGGTACACTGCATGTACTCAAACTTTTTGAGAACTATGGGTGAACGATGGTGGCCAGCATTCAGGTGGAAAACAACCTACGATTAGCTATGGAACCCAGTATTCTCTCAACTCTCACAAAAAAAAAAACTTGAAAGCTCTAAGCAGCAAGCCTTCAGTTAGGCTACTAATTACTCACTGAAAGCAACCACCAACAACACGAATAATCACGCAGCGCCCAAAATTCATATCTTATAACTGGAGGGGGGGCCTGACCCTCAGAGTCCTGAACCCTGAGCCCTCACCCCGAGCCTCTCAAAAATCACTTGTTGTACCAGCCGAGAGTTGGCTTGTACCTTGGAATCATGGTTGGAGGGTTTAGGGTTGAGGGCTTAAGGTTTGTTATGCCCTAAACCCTGAATCCTAAACTCCCTTATTACTCCCCAATCACCTGGGCCTAGGAGGCAAAAAAGATGCTCAGGCTGCAGAAATTTAAGGGAACCCGTTTAGGGTTTAGGGTTTTAGAGTTTAGGGTTTAGAGTTTAGGGTTAGGGTCTTAGAGTTTAGGGTTTAGGGTTTAGAGTTTAGGGTTTGGAGTTTAGGGTTTAGGGTTTAGGGCTTTGGGTTTAGGGATCTCTAACGCTGACCCGGTTCGATGTTTAAGGAGTTGGGAGGCTTGGGATATCTGGGGTATAAGGCTTTTAGATTTCGGTGGCTTTCAGGCAGGCTTAGGGTTAAGGAATACTGGAGAGACAGTCAGCTCAAAATACAAGCATAACATCTCCTGGCAGCAGCTGAAGATGGCTATCTCCTCATACCAACATTCCGCCCCCACCCCTTATACTGAAAATATCCCCTAAGATGTAAAGCCTTCTATGGGTGGTATCTAACATTAGTTGGGGCACCATGAAATTCTAGTATGAAGGGATCAGTCACCTTCGGAAGGTCAAATAAGCCCTAAACCCTTAACCCCTAAACCCTAAACCCTTAACCCTTAAACCGAAAACCCTAAACCCCTAAACCCCTAAACCCCAGGAGGACCCAGATATGAGCTACAGTCTGGGTATAATCCTAAGCCCCAAACTTACTGGTGCTAAAGCAGGAGTGGGGGAGTGGGTTCCTGGAAGCATACCTACATAATTCCGGCATATTTGCTCCATTTATAATGAATGTTTCTGAATCCCCTCCCCCTCATATTAAACCCTCCCACCCCCCCTCGCATTAAATACTCCCATCATGTGGTATAGAATAATATATTGTGAGTATTTAAATTATTTAACATCAGGGAGCGTGAGGGGGTTTTTAAAGTAAGGAGAGGGGATTTTGGTACCCTCAAACCTGAACACCTGGTATCTGAATTCGCTCCCCCACTGTCCCTTGACCAGCAGCAGCTGATGCACCGCCAGACATAGTGGACAGGTCTTGGGGTTTAATGGTTTAAGGTTTGGGCTTATACCCTTGAATTAGTCCCCTTTAAAGGACGTCTACTAAGCGATCTGCTTGCGGTGGCCCACTGAAACGGCCAATGTTGCTGGCAAACTTCCATCCTAAACCCTACAACCTCCACCCTAAACCCCAGAACCCTGAACCCCAACCCCTGAACCCTGAACCTTGAACTCTCAAACCCCCAACCCCAAACCCGCAACCCCCAACCCTCAACCCCATAACCCCAGACACTCAACCCTAAACCCCAAATCCACAACCCTAAGTAGTTGCAGTTTCCCTAGGAACAAAACCCCAATATAGACACAAAAATACTATAGTCCTTATTATTGGGACCCCCATAAAGGGCACCCCTAATTTTGGGAAAGCCCCTAGTACAATGCCAGATGCGGGCTCAGTTTGTTGTCATAGTAATCGCCGTTCCAGCGGAGGGGCTCATCGGACTCAGTAGTGGGTCAGGGGTTTAGGTTACGGGTTTAGGGGTTTAGGGTTCGGGCTTCAGGGTTTAGGTTTAGGGTTTAGTGTTTGGGGTAAACCCTAAACCCGAAACCCTAAGCCGCGTGTTTAGGTTTAGGGTTTAGGGTTTGGGTTTGGGCTGTGACCCGGTCGCCTGATAAAGGAGTCTATGGTCCCCTGAAATGGTTTTGTTGAGGTGCTTCAAGGAGACATTTCCGGAGTCCGGAGGTATAAGCTCTTAATAGGGGGGTCTAGGAAGCATTTAAACCCAAGCACTTAAATATTGAGGTAGGCCTTTCTTATTGTAAAGAAGTTAAGTGCCTATAGTTAAGTTCTTCCTAGGGTTCCTAAGTTATAGGGTCATGAAGGGCTGAAAGATTATCATTGGGGGTGTGCGAGAGGTCCGTTGTTAATGACCATTGGGCAGACATTTGTTGAAAGCACGTCCTGACAAAATCGAGGGGTATATGTGGGGTAGTCTGGGGATATGCTGGGATACATGCAAATATCAATATTGGGGATACATATGTATAAAGAATATAGAGAGGAATATGTAGGGCTGCTCGCAATCAAATGCAAAGCCGAACAAATATAGGGGTCGCATAGGGGTTTGCAAGGAGATTTTTGTAACCTCCGCCCCAAAGTCAAAGGGGGAGTAGGGGGAGGCGGCTATGTCGTACGCGGACGCTGCTGCAATTATTTGCCAAAAGTAAAGGTGACTCTTAGGGCTTTTGGTTGCAAATGCATACGGGCCTACATAGGCCATCATATGGGACCTGGCCTACAGTAGTTAAATTTCTGTTCCCAAAGAGTTGGAAATCTAGATATAGGGACCCGTACTATAATCGGATTCCAATATACGAACCGTTTTGGGTCCCATGCCTACTACCAGCACTTCTGGGGATCTAGGTGGAGCAAGAGTTTGTTTCTGGTCCCCACGTCTCGAAACCCGATGCGCGATGCCCAAAAAGCTAACCTTGAGTTAACTCAAGCCCATGATGCTCCCTAGAACGGAAAAATGTTACGGGCTTCGGGCATACAGCATTAATGGCTTCCCCCTAATAATTACTCTACACCCTAAACCCAAAACAACTCAACCCGACCTGCCCACTCCCCAACCCCCCCAGATAGGTGTTTCACTATCGAAGGGGAGGGCCATATTGCAACGAAAGACAGGTGCCGATTTGGCGCCCATCATGCATCTAAATTCGCTTTAGACAATCAAAATTGTTCAAACCCAGTTCGTATGAGTTCTGACAATTTGTGCTAACTCCTTTATCAACCCCCTAAACCCTAAACCCTAAACCCTAAACCCTTAAACCCTAAACCCCTTTGGCCGAAGAGCGAGGCCGTAGACCTTCTCGACGCGCTCGATAAGATCCTTGTTGTACTTCTCCCAGATCGGCTGGAAAGCCTTGGATTTGGGGCTTTGGGTGTACAAGTTTAGGGGTTTGGGTTTGGGTTTAGGGTTTGGAGTTCGAGGTTTGAGGTTTAGGGGCTTACCCTAAGCCTGAACCTTAAAGGCTAAACCCCAAATCCTCAATCCTAAGCCCTGTACGCTCCCTTAAATGGACCCTCAGCCCTCCAAGCCTTGCTTAGGTTGAAGCTGGAGGGCCCCTGTTAGGGTTTAGGGTTTAGGGCTCTATAAGGGACTACCATGGGAAGGCAAAGGGGATACTAGGAGTTTAGACTATAGCTCATATGGAAACTCCAGGAGTTCATGCAGGTTCCGATTCCGGATTCGAGGTCAAATATTTGGGGCTTCAAAACGTGATAAGCATAGGGTTGAGGGCTTAGGGCTTCACCCGGAGTGGAAGGCCTGACCCATTGGGTAGGTCGGTAATATATAGGGCCCTAAAGGTATAAAGGTTTAGAGGTACCCTATTCCCTAAACCCTTACCATAAGCAATTACACGAGGATCCTAGGACCATCATATACCATCATATTGGCGGTTACATGAACGCCTACATTAGTCTGCATTCCGACTGCCTATCAAGGGCTAAGGCGCGGTTCAAGGTTTGGGCTTGAGGGCTTGGGGGTACCTTATGATTTCTGATGACCACTTCCGCAGACTCCTTGCCTCAACTTCCCCCTGCCTTTTTGCAACCAGAAAAATCCTGATTACTGAGAGGGGGAGACCTCAAAGGAGTGGCATGGGCGGGTAGGCGTAGGGAACCCTTCAGGGCAGGTATGTATTTGTCTGACAGTATATCAGAACAAGCCCTGAACCCTAAACGGAATTGCAGAAGTCTGCGGAATTCTGATGTGGTTCTAGAGTCCACTGTTGGGACTGTATGGAAACCAACTTGCAAAATTCCCATCTCGGAATATGCGCGGCTTCGGGTTGAGGGTTTGGGGGATAAAAGCAACAGCGAATAATCGGATTTTTCGTGTCAGGACTGCATGCAGAATGAGTCAAGTGCAAATACCCTTGAGCAGATGCACAATGTTGAGGGATGCCTTAGCAGTTTAGAAGGGAATACAGGAACAAACTGCCCTGTAGTACCTCAAGCAACTTTCTTTGGGCTTTCCAATGCAGCATGCTGCAAACAATCACAATGCCCCACTGTAAACCCTAAACCCTAAACCCTATATTACTAAACCCGAAACCCTAATCTCAAACGAAAAATCTGCCACTCCGAACCCTCCCCTAAACCCCTAAACCTTGGGTACTGCTTGGAGGGTCAGGGGGACTTAGTAAGTAGGTTGATTAGGGGGATAACTAGGGTTACTATATGGGTTCTAGGGGTTATTACCCTACTTACTAAGTCCCCCTGACCCTCCAAGTGCCCCCCCCCAGTAACAGTCTATATTAGGGGTCCTATTCAGGGCTATATATAACCATACGATATTCATTATCCAATTGTTACTGAGTGGGCCAGTGGGGGCAGTACTGAACCTAAATCCAAGTTAAACCCCTAAACCATAAAGCCTCTACCCACACCCTTCCCTTCCCTCCCTCCAAAGTACCCCTCGAAGAAGGTTGGCATCTGAGTAGCCACGGCATCCGGGCGGATCTTGTAGGTGCCATCCGCGGGCATCTCCGCGTCGCTCAGCTTGTTGATATACTGGTCCTTACATGGGAGTACATATATGATTACTGCACAATGGTTTCAGTTGAGGGTAAAGCACAAAACACCCAAATTCTGCCGATAGCAGCTGTAGGTTCAATCTTGTACTTGCGGTAGATGCCGCCACCGGTGGAGGAGGCGCTGTACTTGGGGTCCTTGCCATCGCTCTCCCTGTTGTACTTCCTGCGGGGGAGAAAGTGGCTGTGGACCATGGACCGCGCAGCTGGCCCCTTCATAAGGCCCTGTGGTATTCCGTATATGACTCCTGTATAACCCCTTTCAAGGAGTTCAGACTACAGTTCATAATATTTCATAATGTTGCACCCTTTTTAGTATAGGGCCCTCCCCCAAACAATTTACACGTCCTGAATCAAAATTGTTTGAAGGGCTGAGCTGAATCTTGATGGTAAATGGTAAGTATTGGTAGTATTAGGGGTTTAAAATTTAGGGTTAGTACTAATATCAGTATTAATATTCATATTAAGCTCTGACCTTTTTTATGAACTAGAAACAATCCCCCTTCCCAAATAAGCTTCTCCACCCCGCTATGAGGGGGGTTTCCCAAACTTAGGTGTCTCCGGATGGGGATCCTAATAATAAGGACTTTGCTATGTTTGAGGTCATACGGGGGATACCCTCACTTTCTGGAAGCCGCCATAACTTATAACCTCTACACAATTCGTTCCCCGAAGCGGGCTCTGACTTTGCTCCTTACACATCGCCTAAACCTCACACCGCTATCCCACACGAAAGGACCCCCACTTCCCTCATAATATGGAAGCCCATATAATTACCAAACCATTATAGATCTGAGATTTTCTTATGTTCGGGGCAACCTGTACACTGTACTATAATCATACGGGGACGCTGGGACCGCAATTCTGCTAGTTGTATAAATGGTAATAACGGCGATAATAGTGATGATGCCCTCCCATTCGCCGGTCCTGTAGTAGGCTTTGGCATAGGCGAACTGCTGCTCCTTGGTCTTGCAGTCCACACGGATGTCGCAGCCCTGCCATAAGAATATGATTTCGGTTCTTCGGATGCAGGGTACTAAGGTACCTAATTTTTTGAAAGCCGAAATGATTCCCAAGATTGCCCTAAATCCTAAACCCTTTTTGTAAGGTACATTGGTCACTCGAATCATGGTTTAGGGGGGTTAGGGCTGGGGTCTAAGGTTGGGGGTTTCAGGTCAAGCGCTAGAAGCTGAACCCTGAGCCTCAAATCTTGGCGGGGGCCCATGGGCTCAGGGTTGAACTTTTAGGGTTGAAAGTGGAAACTTCGGGTTGGGGCTAAGGGTTCGGAGATTAGGGTTTACCTATTTGCTGGTTTAGAGCTTACGGTTTAGGTGCTAAGTGAGCTACAAGCGATAAGCATTTTCCATGTGATTGATGGACATGGAGTCCTATTAAGGGAAATACTAGGGACTAACCATAGTAAACTGTTAGGGGGATGCCTCCTCTCCTGCGAATGACCGCCCTAAAGCCCAACCCCTGAACCCTGCTCCATCATCATGGTGCCATAGCAGACTATCTGTTGCTAGGGGTGCCTTCTGCACCTAAATCAAAGCGATCATCGGGTTGTGCCTGACGGTTCAGCGAATGCCTTAACCAAGCTATAAGCAAACTTGACGACTGGCTCTTCGGCTTTGTTACGTCGACGATCGTCTAGCCTACCTACCGAAAGACTATCCTGGCAACCATACGACTGAATCACGAGAAGCTTCAGTAAGCTAAACAGCTCACTGCCACTTATCAACATGTGCTCAGTGAATGTTGAGCAGCTAAATCGACGCGATCTCCCTCGCACAGCAAAACTTAGTACTTACTTAGTTGGCTGAGTGGGCTTCAGGAAAAATGGGGATCCCCCTGATATACCCAAGAAAATATGACGCCACCAACAGGGACTCCTAAATTTTGGGAAGCCTTCCACGTGGGCTTGGATATTAAGCGTTTGTGTCAGTATGGGGGATGCGAAAAGCTCAGAAACTTCATGAAATTTCTTCGGCGCATGATAAATAGACAACTCGGCAATGAGAACCCCCACCGTAGGCCCCCCGCAAGCCTACGCCGCCCTACTGGGAACTTTTACTGGATGGTAATTGCATACTAGCTTCAGAACCTGTATAAATTTGGAGCGTCTTCCATGCAGACCACCATTTGGGGTGAGGTCCTTATAACT